GGGGGGGGCGTGCGCTTCAACTCACCTAGGGCACCAAAATGGCTCCATTATCTTTCTTCACTTCTTCCATAAAGAGTCATGGGGTTGTTCACATGAGTAAATGTCATGTGAACAGGGGGAAGTTGAATAAATTTATTTATTCATTTAGAAACTGATTTTAAAAGCACCACACCATATTCATAGTTTCCCTTTTAAGTATTGATTCTTATGATCTATTGTTTGACTATTATGTCTTGATTAAAATAGGTTTAGATACATGCCTGAAACATCATGACAACATATAATAATTTGAATGAATGGGTACAGAACAGGTTTCTGCAGAACTTGAAGAGGTAATTTGTCACTGAATCACTGAATCAAKTTTGTTGGAGCAGAGAAACTAGTAAAACATGCAGCTGTTAAGGACTTTCATTGGACACCCCCCTCATGCAGCGTAATCAACTTACACTTCAAAAGCTTGCCTCTCTGATGATATGGAGGTGTATTATTGCCTCTGGCATGGGCAGCTTACAACAGAAAAAGCACCATCAGTTTAGATGAATCAAATACATGTTTATAAGATGTTAAGTCATTGTATTTTATTTTTTATTTACATTTTCCACAACGCTAGAGTTATCTGCAGAAAAATAAGACTGAGTCTCTCTCTTTCACGAGTTTTATATTTTTTGTTTTATCTCTTTTGTGATCAGTTTTTTTCATCCGTTTGAATAAGCTTCACCTCCAAAGCCAAAAGCTGTTAATGTTCACAAAGACACAAGTGGACCATTCTGAATTGCATTTGCTTGTGCAATAATTGAGGCAAAGACAAGAAAATAAAAAGCATTTGTTTTTATTTTCTTACAAAAGGCGAAATACATGACTTGTACGACCGGTAGAACCATGATGTGGTACTGAAATAACACAGGGATACAGAACTGCTTTGAAATGATATATTAGGTGAAAGGAAATAATGTTCTTTCAAAACATTTCCACACACATTCATAATATAAAAGTCTGGTTAGTTTTAAGGTTTGTTCTAAATGTTTTTGTGTGGTTTCACCGTACGTTCAGGAAATGTCAAACACTTTGGGCTATAAAAAATTAAAAAAAGGTTCCAATACTAATTCTTTTGTGGTTTTACGGGTGGAAATGTCCGACTTTTGGTTTTGAAGGCAACCTGCGATCAGGCAGTTTTAGTTGGGGCAACCAACAGGAACCTTAACATGAGGATACTTTTGGTTAAAGTCAGATTGCGGTTAAGAAAAATGCACTGAAGAATCTGTAGAAGAAATGCTAAGTACACAAAAAGCAGCAAGAATGACAAAAAAAAGCTAAAAAATATATTTAAAAAAAGCCTTGCAGTGGTCGTGCACAAAGCTCTGAAAATAAAAATTGAAATTCACTGCTGAAAATTTGATCGTGACATGCACATAACTAGTTCAATGAACACTGTAATATTAAAAACTATTTACATGTATATACAGATGAGCCATCATAAATGCTCTTACATTACAATATTAAAAGTTATAAAGCAAACCAAAGGGAACTGGGCTTATTCAATTAAAAAAGGTTTTAACGTTTTCCCATCACGTCTGAAAATCTGTCCCTTCACTCCAGCTCCTGTTTTGGTTTTGGAGTCCACAGCTTAGATTGTCTCTGGCAGTGCTTTAGAGGTGTGTGTTTTTTTCTTCTGTTTCTTCTTTTCAAACCAGCAGCTGTGAATGTTTGTCCTTCAATTGTCTTCATACTTCAACAAGAGTGACCTGAAACTGGCCGGTGCCCGCCTCAGACATCTCAATGAGGAAAGCTGACTGGTTGCTGTAGTGTTCAATGATGTTGTTGTCCATGTTGACATATATTCTGCAGGAAAACACACAAAAAAAAAGTTATTACGATGATTCTATTGGCAGCTTTAGTAAAGAAATCAAACGTTACAGCCATCAGTTCAGACAATCAAACGAGCCATTGCCTCCCTCCCTAAATCTTTACTACTTTAATGCTTGAAGTAACCTGCCTCACTCATTCTGCTTGCAGGGACAGAACTGATTGAAGGTAAGAGCATAACGAGGAGGGAGGGAACCGCAGGGAGAATGTTACCCAACCTGTTAGCTTGGCTGATTCCCCTGCAGTGATAGCTGCCAAAAAAACAGCAGGAAAACTACCTAAAGGTGCGCCGGCTTCTGTGAAGAGGTCACAAGAAAAGGGCCTCTAAAATTCAGGACTGATGTCATACAGAAGGAGGCCCAGAAGCTCAAGAGCTTAAAAACAAATGCGTTTTTTTTTTTTTTTTTTTTTTTTTTTTTTTTTTTTTTTTTTTTTTTTTTT